TTTTTAACACAAAGGTATGCAAATCAGACACCAGATGTAGTGGTGTGTAAACAAGCTGAAGTCTAGTCATTGCAGGATCAAACCAGTCCAGTCCCCCGTTACCAATTACATATTTCACCTTCTCTCCCCTTCCCTCCCCCGTCAGACCTCTTAACATTCCCACACACACAGTTTGTTGATTTTCTAACATGCTGGCATGTGTCTGTGGAGCCGGGTCTGACTAGCTGAAGTCGCTCGAGGCCTGTTCGGGTCTCTGTAGCCCCCTCTTGTTTCTGCTCAGCCTGCTCCTCCCTCTGTACAGTCACGTACTCATGTTTCTGTGACATGCCTTGTTTTAATGTCACCAAGACGCACACTTTCAGTACAGCTCTCAGTGATTACATTAATCTTCCAGGAGAAAAGCAGTCTAATCACGGACACGTCGTGCAAATGGACCGATAATGCTGGATGTGGACAATAACAGGGCAAAGAGCAGCCGGCTGTTTTTTTAATTCTCCTTCAGCCTTTTTGTGTGTGTGTCTACATCGACATCAAAACAGGACTAACAATCTTTTCTCTGCTCATTTCTACAAATTGTTGCAAAATCAGAGAGCAGTGGAGGCAATTAGGTTGAGATAAAAGGGTTTAGGATCTACAGGCTGGCTGGTAACTTAAAAAAAAAAAAGAGGTTAATACAGTGCCTTCATTTTATGCCTTTTTTTTTTTTTTAAATATGCTAATTATTTAGCCAAATCCAATAACCCTTTTGGCCAGTTGGACTTGTATCATATAGTCGTAGAACTGAAATGAAATCCTGTAACTACTGTTTTTCCAACAGATCTTTTTTGCAGAACCGTTTCTCTTGTTGTTCCCATACAGATGCATTTGAACACTGAAGCCACCCTCTGTTTAACCACATACAACCAAGACGATCTGACCAACAAGAAATATTTACACTGACTTTGTAGTGATTCAGATTTTGTATTTTTATCACTGAGAAAGTGCACGAGATAGTTAAAAAAAAAAAAAAAAGCATCTGATTTTTATATGCAAATAAAATACATGTCTGTGCATGTTTTTATTAGTTTAAGTGTGTGATCAGGTTTAGCTGTGGATTTAGTTGAATCTCTTATGCAGGTTCTCACAGAATGTAGACATGAAACCTCCTTTAGAGAGCTCTGGAAACAATCCTGCAGAACAATATAAGATTGACCCAAAACCTTCAGTTAAAAGAAAGAAACGGTGTAATTACTCGTGTAATCTAACTTGTAATTATCTTATGAGCTTTATTAACAATTAAAAAGGCATCACTTAAGCAGCTGTTCCAGGTTTTATTCAGCTGAGGGTTACATAATAAAGCTTAATATACTGTGTATGACTTCTCCTGTATTTCTACATGGCAGTCTGCCTGCATAAGCAAATGATAAGAGTGAGTGACTAAAAAAAGACTACTTGAACGGCAGAAATCTAATCTAAACCACCGCTATATATTTGTCTGGCTGTACCACTGTCCAACATTGTTACAACGCTAAATACGGAAAAAATGCACACACATATACTGTTGCTTTCTTTGTGCTTGATTTCACCCAGCACCTCCTCCAAGCAGAGCAGACATGGCTGGTGCATATTTTCCCTTTTTCTCAAGTGCGTTTTAACGTATACGCTGCCATCAAGCAAAGATGAAAACAAGCAAAAAGTGACTCGATGTCTTGTTGTTAATGTGCTGCTCCAGTGTAAAATATCACATCTCGGTTATTATGCAGCCCCAGGAAGCATCTTAAAACTTTTTTTTTTTTAACCATTGGCAGGTATTACTTTTAAAACTGGGATCTATACATTATGAGCATTAATTTACTCTAAAATATCATTTTGATGTTACTGATTATTGCCAGTCACAGTGTGAGAATGATATTTATAGCACATGTGTAAAAAAAATTATAAAAATTAAGTCAACGATATATATTTATTGCAAATATGAGTTTGGACGTGGTGGCAGAGTTGCTGAATGTGCCTGACTGTCTACTCTGTGGCTCTGCTGAGGTCACTCATAGTGCGGCTGACATAATTACTGGGTGGTGGACGCTGCTGACTTATCAGCGATGTGTGTCTGAGTTGAAATTTGTGTTTGGCCACCGGTTGTAGCGTGACTATTACTTTTAAATGAGGCTGCAGCTGTGGGTGTGCATGACAGATCTCATCCCAGATACAGATGAGAAAGGCAAAAAATGGGAGGAGTACAGTGGTGTATAAACAGCACTTGTTTGTACCATCATGCTGCTGTGTTCAAACTGTTTTTACTATTCTGGTCCATTCCAGCCTGTTCTGCTTCAGTGTCCCGTTTCCCTTCTGTCTCCACTTTGTTAGGTCAGTCAGGCCTGAAAAGGGGGGATACAGAAGGGAGGAGGGGGCTCATTTTTGGGAAGCACATTTCTGAATAATGACCTCCCCGCGGTCTAAATGAGACATAACAGAAGAATATTAAGCTCCAACGACAGGCTTGTTTTCCTCTTTTGCTCCTCTTTCTGTCTTCCACAGAGCATGTGTGTGATGACATCAGTGTTTGTCCACCTCACTATTAAACAGCACTTTCTTTGCCTCGGAATTCTTTCAGTGTGGCGACCATTTGCATGAGAAGTGGCTGAGAATGGGCCCCCTTCCCGTTTTCCTCCCTTTGTCCTACCATTCTTTTATTCCAAATTCTTCACACTAATGCTCCTTCCTTGCTTTGTGCTGTGCATTATATAAGAGCGCTGCTAACACTGTCCAGTCACTTAGCTAAGGCACAGCGACATAATTCCCCGTCTGTCCTGGAAGTACTACGTTTTGAAGACGGGAAAGCTGAAAGGAGCCGCTCTGATTCATGGTGTTGCACACTCAGACCTCACTTTGTTTTAGGCTGTTTCTGAAAAGGATGAAAAAGCTTGTGTAGAAATCATTAATGGGGAAATGAGGCCACTGAAGCAGGTAAATGCTTTTATCTCTACTGTCAGAGAGGCTTGGCTTTAGCGCTGAGCTACAGCTTTGGGTTATTTGGTCTCTCTCAAGAGACAGTGTCTATATTTACCTGGGTGCAGCTCCACAACAGGCTTTTAACTCGAAAGTTAGGTAACAATTACCACGAAGCCGCTCCATGGCAACAAAAGATTAGGAGCTTAACCTGCAACTAGGCTCGAACTGCTTGAGAAAGACGGTGGACTGTTTATTCAGCTGCAGTGTTCAGGGTGTCCACCGGGGGGCATCCTGACCTTTGACCTTGTCTCGACTCCCAATAATCCTGTTAGAGCTGGCTGTCTGTCTGCATGGGCACAGCATGAGGCGAGTAATTGACAGAGATCTGAAGGGTGATTGTGCAGAAGTTCTTCAACTGGATAATCAGAGTTGGTGAATGAAACAGTTAGCGCCAAGGTTTCCGTGTTAGGGGGTGCATAAATCTGTTTACACAGTCGCATTGTGGGGATTTGCCTCCTCTTTTGTGGCCAAAAAGCAAGTGCACATCATCAAATCTGGCTTCGTTAAATTGCAGTCACCTGTCTGACACACCCACATCACCTGCTCCAAATTGCACAATCAGCCCTTCTGGAGAGATACCTCGCGTGAGTTCCAAATTGCATATTTGTCTTTTCCTTCAAGCATCTAGTGCAGCTGCTCACACAAAGTACGTACAGTTTCATGCAGTATGCACACAATTTCAACATACTACTTTGTTTTTGTAATGCTAAACTTTAACCGTTGCAGTCTGTAGTGTAAAATCATCTATCTGTGCAATGTTAGCGACTTCAGCTTGTTTGCACTCATGAAGACACTGTGACATGTGTGATGTAACTGTGCAGAGTAACCAGAAAAGCATGCAGGGCTGCATACAGCAAAATCCAACCGAATGTAGGAGGACAGGGTACTTTACACATACTGCATTTGACACATGAAGTCTTTTTCAGGCATACTAGATGGTATTGGATATTGGAACACGCCCCTCTCCTCCACTTGTACGCCTTCCCATTTTGTTTGTCAAGCTTCCCAGCCACGACTATATTCCTGATAACATGTTTGATCATGATCTCCGTTTTGCCTTGTGGTTTTGTTTGCCTGCCACCCTGCGTGCCAGCTTGGTTTGCGTTCATCACTAAATCACCTAAATACAGTTCCATTTGGGTTGCACTTTCTGGTGTACCGATAGACAGCTGTGAAAATAACTGCGTGTGTTCAATTGTCTTAGCACGTTGTGTTTGTTAAATAAGACTATTTTATTCAGTGGTATCTGGTTTCCTGCCTTCCTTGATGCATCATTGTTGGGAGCCTGGTGGAAGTGGTAGCAGCTTTTACTTTGGGCAGGAAAATTATTTTTTTGAAATATACAAGAGTTGAATAAAAAAGGAGACCAAACTCTTTTTTGTACGAGGCTGCAAACGTGTTTATTTCTGCTGTAAAGTTGGACATTTTAACATGTGGGTCTAAGGGGTGGGCTGCAGGGTGGCGCAGCTGGTTAGCACTGTTGCGGGGGGGCACCGGAATCTTTCTGCATGGAGTTTGCATGTTCTCCCCGTGCAGCGTGGGTTCTCTCCGGGTTCCACAAGGTCCAAAAACATGCTGAGGTTAATTGGTGATTCTAAATTGTCCGTAGGTGTGAATGTGAGTGTGCTTGGTTGTCTGTCTCTAAGTGTAGCCCTGTGATAGACTGGTTGCCTGTCCAGGGTGTCTCCTGCCTTCACCCTGAGTTAGCTGGGATAGACTCCAGCCCCCCGTGACCCTAGCGAGGATTAAGCGGTGTATAGATAATGGATGGATGGATGGATGGATGGTCTACGGGGTTCGACTTAATTATGGAGGCAGCTTGAAGTGGCCATTTGAGGAACTGCAGTTTTGACACTTCCATGTAATTTGTCAGCTCCAGAGATCGCTGCTCAGTGCTTAACGATATGCCTCTCTAGTTGAAATGCTAAGTACTGACAGTGACACCAAACCAAACTGAACTCCTTGTTTTTATTGTACAAAGCCAACCCACCGAGCTAAATGAAAAACTTAACTTCTTTTTATTCAATTGTAGCTTTTTATTATGTTGTCCTCTTCACCTGATAAACACTGTAAAACTGTGGAGCAAATACAAACAATTATTTACAGTTACAGTTTGATCCATATATGTCCCATGTGAGGTTCTCAGTCTGGAAATTACCTAATTCAGTATTTATTTTTGACTAAAGAAAGTCAGCTAGTGCACACAAGCGGAAGAACAAAATTCACAAAATAATAGAGTCAGACTTTGACATATTTAAAAAGATAGAAACATTAGAAAATCTCAACAAGCTTCATCAGAGAGATGCTGCATATCCCAGAAACTGAACAAATAGAGGAATGTGTCCTCGCTGTTGTGAAGGCAGGTTACAGCAGGATCATCTTCTTCTCTTTCACAGTCCACCATCATCCTGTAACAGGACAGAAGTCACATGTTTATGTCTCAGACAGGAGGTGAGGTCTCAGATGACTGACGGAGCTGTTAATAAAGCGGAGCATCATGTCAATGTGTAGTCGTTTGTTGATACAATCCACCGGAGGGTGTTCCTGCATTTCTTGGAAAAGTTACAACTGTAGAACATTACCGAATAATGTTTTGGTTGCTACAGTGTTGGTGACTCATGGAAGTATCTGTGTTGTGCTTTATTTACTTTTAAAAATCAGCATGCATTCAAGCATGTGCTCAACCGGAGCTTAATTTTCAACCTTTGCAGACATTTGTGTTGAAAAGTACATATTTCTGACTTTCTAACAGTTTCTGCCAAGCAGCTGGTTTACTTATTGCACCTTAGTGGAAAGGAATTAGGTTTTTTTTATACCTTTAAGCTTACATGAATAAAAATAAGGAATTAAAAAAAAGAAATTGGGTCATATGGACTTTAATATGCATGCATTATTCTGAATATACAAATTAACAATTACAATTAATCTTGTAACGCATTTTCAACTTTGTATCTTAGTCCTAGATTTCTTTGTCTGAATGTGTTTTGAGTTGCAATGTTCATGTTTTCTGACCGCACTCAAAAAATGTGCTGTTTAAATGTATATTTTAGATATTTGTTGCTGTTGTTGTTTTGTTCTTGCTGTTTTTTTTGTCATTGTTGTTTTTGACCAGAGCTAGAAGAGAAAGTATATTTCACTCTCACATCTGCACTGAAGGCTAAAACAAAGCTAGCACTAGCAGCTGGTTAGCTTAGCTTAGCATTAAGACTGGAAACAGGTGGAAGCAGCGAGCATGACTTCAGTCATAAGTTTTAAAAAAATCCCTACAAGTTGTTTTTAAAGTTTTGTTTTGTTTTTTGTTTTTTTTGGTACAAAAGAAACCAATTAAATATAATGTGTTCAACATTTTTGCTATAGATGTTCAAATCTAGTGTTTTAAGTTACTTTGGGCCTAAACGTTTAGATTCAAAGTATATAATGATTTAAAGTAACAAACGTAACAATAATTTGCTGGAAATGTATTGTTTAGAATATTTGAAATACATAGATATTCACTTTATTGCCACTTTATTGGGGGATTACTACTAGTTTTTGTATGGCAAAGATAAATCCATAGCTAGCAGTGCTAAAATAGCAAAACTAAGCTAAGCTAAGGATGGACACAGTTCACCTGGCTCTATCCAAAAGTACCAATATACACTTAGTCTCTACAGCTTACCCTTTAACACATCAACACATACTGTTTCTTTATTCTGTACAAAAACACACTGTAGCAAGAATATTTTCCAAAATGTCAAACTATTTCTTCAAGTGAGTGCAGCTTCCCTTATCATTTTCCTGTTCAGTGGAACAACAGTTGCTACATTCCATTAATCCACCCACATCCCTCCTTTCCTGTTCCCATCAATAACAAACCTAATGGAAATTTAGAATTGCAATCAAAACAGCACTAAAGCATTGGGAAGCTACTAAAAGGCCACAAACTAAACACAGCTGGCTCGCTTCCAGCAACCCAACAAGTCAGTGCAGAACATGTTGCTTTAGAGGTCCTGCTCAGTGCTCAGTGTGTGATTGCAAAGAATGAATCCACCTTCTCCAACACCTTTTTACTTTTTCAGAGCTGGAGTTGTAGGACGTGTGCACCTACGTCTTTGCTGTCCCGACAATCCCCGCAGATGCATCCCAAGCAACCGTTGACAACCTGGATGCCACAGAGAACCACCTGCAGAATACCCATGGCCAGCAGGATGGAGAACAGAACCACGTGCCACATCACAGCGTTTTCAGGGAACACGCACACCGACCACAAGGTTTGGTTAGTGAGGTAGCTGGTATTACCCCTGTGAGGGAGAGCAGTTATAGAGTATAAGAAGTGTACAAGATATACAAAAAAAAAAAGAAGAAACGGTGAAAGTATGTGTGAAGCAGGCCAAGGTTGGGGCGCAGGGAAAAAATAGCTGTGATGACAGAGTTGAGGAAAAATGTGAGGGAAAAGGAGGTAAATGGAACAAGTGAGGAGTGAAGAAAGAAAGCCCATGGAAAATATATAAAGGAGGGGAACTGAGAGAGTTTGACCTTTTGAGAAATACACTCAGTCCCTCTCTGATGTCTGTAGGGTACAGTAGTTTAGCAAATCTGGAACAAATGCTCCTTCCAACTATTTGAAATCTCACAAATTAACATGCAAAAACCTAATTGTAAATAGTAGAAGTCTACACTTAAAGATAAATAAATAAATTGGAATTTCATCTGTATTTTTTGTGTATTTCAGAAATACTGAAAAAAGGATAAAAATGAATAATTCTATTTCCATGATAGATTTTTTTTCACAGTGCAAAAATGTAAAAATGCGATCTGGTTTCCTGTATGGCATCCTTATGATGATCTAAACCACATAAAAGCTAAAAACATATGAGAGGGGTGTCGAACTCTCAGTAAGTCATTCAATGTGTATTTCCTAATATGTTGAGCTGCTCCGTTAAAACAATTTCATTTTAGTAGACTTTGAATTTTTGTATTTAAACCAAGAAATCCTTAAAAAATGTACTGAAAAAATGTCCCAGTCTCAGGTCAAGTGATATGTTTGAAAGCTGCTTTTAAATGAACCGTGAGGCTGTTGAAATTATAACTAATTCATGGTACAAGATCGAAGTCTGTTTCTCAGACTGACTTCTTTATGCATGGGAGATGAGAGTTTTTATTATGGTTAAATGCCAGATAAAATGCAAACTAGCAATTTAAATTTAACGTGTGACATCTTCAGCCAGTGTGGTTTTAAAGAATCACATCTTGTTTTTCCTTAATCTTTCTCAGCAGTGTTGGAAATGCTGCATCACTAAAGTCTGTGTGCAGCAGACGAGAGAGTGAACTGGAGCTCCACGGGACTCAATGTAGAAAAACAGAAACAACAAAAAGGGGAAATTAAGGTTTGCTGGAGGAAGCACAAGCTGAGGTTGAACATTAATATCCCGCTTTGCATTGTGTAATCAAACTCGCTCCTCTCTGAACACTGTTGCCCTTTAAACTGCTGTCATCACAGTCTACATATTAACAACATGCTCATATTTATTAACAGCTGTTCCGACGGGCCTCCATCAGGTGATTCACATGCAGCTGCCTCGGCTTGTAAACCGCGTCACTGGTGCCATTATTCACAGGGTGGGTCTTATTTTACATCATATTGCTTTCAGGCCAGAAAAAAAAGCAAGTAAAGTTTGAAATGTTTTTTTCTTTTTAAATTAAAGTTTTAAAAAGAGAAGAGGACTAACTATAACATGACTCAGATCATGAAGCGCTGGCTCAGTGCGCCACCTACTGGATAATTACGATATTACATTTATAGATTTTACATTTATGATTAACTGAAGCTGCTCAGCTTCTCAAAGACAGATAAGGGAGTTCAATATAACTAATGAGATCACAGAGATTAAACAAAAGAACAAGGAAGAGCTACAAATGGAATCATTTTTGTAACCTGCTCAGGGCTTCAGCATATCACAGCTCTTGTTCTCCTGTTACCTTGGTAAAGCATGCAAAGAATAAATAGATCTAAGTGAGTGATGTAGGGAGGAACACTCACGTGCCAGTGTTTTCAAACGGCTGCTCCCACCCGCCATTGGCCACCTGACACTTGGGTCCATAAGCCATACCAGCCGAGGCCACGCTGGTGCAGTAAATCCCTCCAACCAGACCGAAGGCGGAGCAGAAGACCGAGTTCAGCATCTGAAAGACAATTGGGAACACGGTGTGAATGTTTTGTTATTTTCATGGGCGTGTGGATCCCCGTGAGGGTGCTGTCGTCACCGAGAAACAACTTTGACCAACTTGACTGTCACAAGACGTGCAGCCTGACGTTGTCAGTGGAAAGATTTGATGTTCTAATTGAATAGCAGAGATAAGTGGGGTCTAAGAGCAATAATAAAATGTGGGAAACAATAAAACGAATGTTGTTTAGCTGATATTTTCCAGTCACAGAGGGGTCTTTTTATTTTGGCTCACTTTACCTGAAAAGAAAAAAAAAATCTTTACTTAATGCAAAAAAAACAAAACAAAAAAAACCTCACAACTAATGAAATTTCAGCTTAAGGTCCACTGGGCTTTTTTCACAGGATTTTCTCTGCAACAAACAAGAAACAAGAAAGTAGGCAACCAGACTGTTAGACTGTTGAGGCTTGTTTACATGCCAGGCCAAAGCAGTGAGTCTGCACGTCTGATGTGATGAGGTGAAGTGTTGCAAAGCTTAAGAGTAAATAATCTGGTCTGGACAAGGAGATGTTGGACGTAGAATATTTAAAGACAGAAATAGTAAAACTTTAAACAAGCAGGAACCCAGTGAAGGGAGTCAATGCAGAGACCTCCGTAAAGAGATGTGTTGGAGTAGTAAAATCTAGACAAAATAGAAGCATGCAGCAATACCTGCAAATTGACTGACTTCATCTTACAAATCAGTTTTAGTTGGAAAAAAAGTGGCCTTAACGACTGAACTACTGTGTTCGTCCAGTTTGAATGTATTGTCCATGATCACACCATAGTCTGTTATTGGTTGTTCAGGTGCAGGTCAGGTGCACTGACCAGACAATATAACCTCTGTCCTGCTGCTGTTTAGGTTGAGGACATTTAACAACATCCAACCTTACAAGTCCCCCAAAGTCCAAAATAGTTGTTTTTTAAAAAAAAATATATATTACTGTAGGGTTGTTTATCCATCCTAAAATAGTTATGGTTGCAAACTGCTATAATATATTGTAGCTCTTTTTGAATTTACACCTGATCTGTTGCTGATTTTTAATGGTGTATGAGTCCATATGTGTGGGTTTGACTGTCACATGCTCTTGGAACAGTTTTGAGGTGATATTTAAGCAGGTTGTGTTTGATGGTGGCTCAAAATAGTCCAGTTGTCTTGGTTTAATGCATATGAGTGGTTTTCTACTTATGGTTTCTGGATGAAGTTAGTTCTATATTGATCCAAAGTGTGAAACTGTTCCAAGATTCAAGAACAGCATTTTTTTACTAAAGATAAGATGAGATGAGATGAAATGAGATGATCTTTTTTGATCCCTCTCTTGGGAAATTTACAATCTAACAGTCCGTAGAAGCAACAGCGACCAAAGTGTCAAGTTTAAACCTTTTTTTTTTCCTTTTCAAATGTGAATAGCTGTTAGTTTAAATCCCTGTCTGGCCGTTCAGACTGAGTGGCTCCACAGAGCTTTGATTAGCGGTGTAGTTCCTGATAATTAAAGGGAAGTGAAAGATTAGATTTGTGATAAAGAGTTTCTTCTCTTCTTCTGCAAAATATATTCAGCAAAGCATAATGTCTTTACATTTAAAACTGCAAACTCGCTTCAGTTCAGAGAAAATCATAGGATAAGTAAATGATTGCAGCGTCCATGTGATGAATTGCAGCTAAAATACACAAGTGTAATTTGTTCTTTATATGCCATGTACCTTGGCAGTACTTTTTTACTACCCATCATTACAGCCCATAACAACATGTAGATGAACAGCTTCAAATGATTCAACTCACACGGCAGCGGTTGCCACAGCAACCTGCTCCACAGCAACCCTTGCCCCCGGCCCTGATAGCGGAGCAGCTCGGGCACATCATCTGAAAAGTTGAAAAAAGAAAACATCACCTCCAGAAAAAAAGTCAACTTTTTCATGATTGTACATTCCTACATTATGTTATTGGAATTCAATTCAATTTTTTAACAACATTTTCAGTGTTTGTGTCGACATAAAGGCACACACGGCACATTTGCAGTTATACATATGTGTGTGTGTCTGGGTGTGCGTGCATGTTCTCTTATCTCTCAAAGCAAATATTTGGGTATTTTACTGTCTCATCTCAGCAGGCAGTGACAGCTACACTGTTAGAGGCAGAAACGTGCTCAGACTTCCTGTTCCAAGCTGTAATAACGCTGTAGGAAAATCTTGTCCTTCCACAAGGCTCAAAGGTTGCTCTGATCCATATGATGGATTAAATGTTTATGAATTATTTATTGCTCTCGTCAACCTTTGAAATGAAGATAGTGTTGGCAGAAGCTCACACAATCAGATCGTTGTGTCTCTGACCAGATGAGATCTGAATATCTGCTCCAGTGGTTTCCTTGAACTAACTTTATAGCAGAAAATACTTTTATCACCACTGATGCACACATATGGTGATGGATGAACTATTACAGTCATTTATTTAGTCAAAGTAGCAATGACACTGTGTAAAATGCAAAAATCAAGCAATAAAATATACTTTTGTGAACAAATGGAGCAAAAATACCCAAATAACTGTAATAAAATACTACAATGAAGTATTATGTTGTGTATTTAGATGATCAAAATCAATTTTGCTGTTGTTTTTGGCAGGGGTTCAGCTAACTTTATGTCTTTTGTACCTTGAAGGATAGTTTAAATACAGCAATGTAATACATTTTATAACATCAGGATATTATTCTTACATGTTGAACCCTATGAAGTAACTAGAGCTGGTAAATAAATGTAGTAAAAGTACAATATGTCTCTATGAATTACAGCATTTTAGAGACATACCTGCTTGAATGACTACTACATTTAATAGAAGAAACTTTGTACTTATGCTGTGTCCCTCTAATTCAGCCTGAAATATTTTTATATATGAATAGTTTATAATCGGAACTCGGTTTTAAGAATCTTCTTGAGTCGTGTTATTGATTCATTGCTTATCAATAGATGATTATCCACCAGATATAAAGAGTTAAATAATTACAATCCATCTAAAATCAAAGCCAAGATAGGCCGAGACTTAAAAATTAACAATAAATCTGCCCGATCGCTGATATCCAGAACCCTACAGTTGTTTCTCGTAAATAAATATAGTCAATAAAAGTCAATAAAAGCAAACATTACAGGTTTACACAGAGCTAAAGTTAACGACTGAGAAAACCCAATAAAACATCAAAGGCGACCCTCTGCGTGTAGATTACTCACAAACAGGCCTCCTCCGATGAGCCCCCCCATGAGCCAGACCTGCAGGGAGATCTGGTCATTTTCTAGTTTTTCCCCGTTGGGGAAGAAGAGCAGCAGATTGGAGATCATGCAGATGAAGGCTGAAGGCAGCAGGATGAGACCCACCAGGCGGGCACACTTTCCTGTACAACACATGTTTTATTTCTGTCTTGCTTTGTCTCCTTTTTCTTTTCTCCTGCTGTCGAACCCTCTCGCTAAGTTGAAAGGAAGTGAGTGAAAAATGCGAGAACCCAAAAAAACAAGGAGGCGAACGAGTGTGAGAGGAGATCAGCACTGACAGCTCACACTGCGAAACTCAAACACAGCCGGGGACGGTTAGAGCAGGAAGGAGAGAGGGAACAAAGGCCACGTATTGGTGTGGCCAACTGCACTCTAATATCAGCCCTGTGTGCTTCTAATAAGTCTCAGATAAAGATGGAAACCCCTCAGTGAGGAGAGAATCATTTTTCTGTCACGCTAAATTTAGACAAACATGAGGTCCAAACGAACTAAAGAACACAGAAATGAGAGGGGTATGTGTGTGTGTGTGTGTGTGTTTAGGGGCTCTATTGTGCTGCTGAACGCCCTTTGATACCTGCTGGTCGTATCAGTTAGATCCATTTATGGCCTATTGCAAACACAAAACAAGGCTTGGCCTCCAGCACCTCTTAATAACAGTTTATCTACTAAAGATACGCAGCACACACAGTATGACTCGTAATGTAATGGACCTGCAGATGTGGGGAACCCAAGAAAATGCAAACATTTGTTTTATCTGCCCTTAATAGACCAAATTATTGTTGTAGGTGTCTTGTTCTTTTGGAACCTATAAGCTTAATAGACTGGAAGAAAACAACTCAGTCGTCATCACATTGTCATTCTATACACTTGTGCTGGTGTTCTTGGGAAATGAAGGATTTTGTGAGCTGTATAAGTTGTTTTGTTCATTTTACAGAATATTTAGTGTATTATAGTGAAGGGATGTGATCAATACACTGCAGCAGTAATACTGAAGTTACACTTCACGTGAACATTAGTTTGTATTTTTGCAGAGATTTTCTGTCATTGCTGGGATTTGGAATCTATTCTTTTAGGTACTGTAATAACGATTTTAACCATACAGTTCAGCATTAATGTGCCATGCCACTATTACATGCACGTTACATAATCAGATTAATTTCTGTTCACTGACCAATTTTAGATGCTTCTGGTGTTATAACAGCTCCTGGTCTAATTCTGGAGTCTGATCTGTGAAGGTTGTTTAGGATGATAGAAACAGGAAACTAAGACTATTCCTGCTGACTTCCCCTTTTTATGGCAACTTTAGGTCGCTGTTAACGAGTCCGTGTGAAACCCTGGTTAGATTATAAAACAATAGGCCCTTGATATATTTCATTCTCATGTAAAAGACCTCTGACTCATCCCACAGAGAATTACTCAGATGTGATTTGTGGTTGTTTTTGTTTCTCAAACTGTGCATCTTGCAGATGTTTTGCACGATTTTGTGTCTCTTTGTGACCATTTTAGTCATTTTATGTGTGGTAATGTTAATTTCATGTCTCTTTGTTGTCTCCTTTTAGTCATTTTGTGTCACATTTGTGTTTCTCATTGTTGTTTTGCATTTATTTAGTGTTATATTGGTAACACTTCGTGTCACATTGTGGCCATTTTAGGTCCTTTTGTGTCCCTCTATGAGATTGTCACGGCTCAAACGCAGAAAGACGATTCAAGCAAAAATATATTTACTATTTGATATTTACAAGATAACAAACCCACGTGCTAAATCTTTTTACAAGGTAATCAATTTTTACAACAACAGACATGTTCTCAAAGAAATAAAAGCAGCAAAAAGACTAATCAACTCACTGGGAACACTAGTGGCAGGGGGATGAATTACCAAAACAGGAAGTATCACGTTTTGGCAATCCTTATTCAAAAAAGTAATGACAGCAGCACACCTTAACCCAGCCCAGAAGAGTTTGTTAATCACTGTGTTTTAATTCAATGCCTCTGATCAATCTGAGACTGTCACTCTCACCGGCTGCACGTGTTGATTCTCATATGGTTGCAGATAAAACATCTTTATGGATGATGAATCATGTGATCTGTGGGGACAGCGTTGTCAGCTCTGCATTTCGTAGGACACAAGTCTTCCATCAATGTGGAAACCTTTTTCTTGAATTCAAAACTTGAAATCACTCATATGAGTGTGTTTTCCATTCCTTAGAGTGCCTATAAAGACAAACACTCTGTATTCTGTGCTATAGTTTATGCAGGTATCTAAGTAGTAATTTAATTTGATTCTGATGAATGCCTTTCATAAACTACAATCCTTTCTCTGAACACATTTGGAGCATCAGAAACATTTCTTGAGCCCCTCTTGGCTTTTTCATACTCCTGGTTGTTGTCGTTTTCTCTGTCTCCGTAGCAGCATTTATTCCCTTTTTTAGCAAATGTAGAGGTAAAATGCGTCACAAGTAGAGATCTAGTTGCAGGAATATTACCACTGATACCACATTTAAAACTCCAGTAAATTCTGGCATGCAGAGAGATTTTTCCTGCTGACTGGCTTCTTTAACGGTGTGTAAATTTGTGTGGCATATATATGAAAAAGTCACACGCTCTACTTTTAAGTTTAAATAAAAATTGCTTTCACTTTCTTTTCGTGCATTACATAATGAAATGACACTCAATGCCACCCAATCAAAAGCCACCTTCAATCAGATTTTTCAGACGTATTGCCAAAGCGCATGATCACAACGTAAGATTATTGGAATTCCCCGTTGTTTTCGTCTGCCTCTGTGATGCCTTTAAAGTACACTGGTCCAGTCATTTGACAGAGCATTCAGCGAGAGGAAGCATATTTGGAAGCGATGGCAGGTAAGTGTGTTTTCATAAACTTGTATGAATACTGTCTGTATTAACTGTAAGGTTACATCAAATCCGTGTCAGTATGTCAGGTGGTGTGTGGTAACCTAAACAGTGCACGTGTCTCTCTAATAACATTATCTGCACTGTTTTTATTTATCTGTTTTGTGTGTGATTTAGCCTGAATGTAAAAAGCATAATTCTTCCACTTAGGGTTCAGGGTTATATTTAAAACCGTCCAACATAATCTGACAACTCTGATATTTACCAACTCTTTAACTTCAAGCAACAGCAGCAACTTTAACCTTCAGTTTCACTTTTATTGAGCATGAAAGACAATAAGAGAGTAACAATGTGATGATGTTCCTTAGCTCCATCTACAGGTCGCCCAGTGACAGTAACTCTTGGAACTGTTTTGACATTACATGTGCGGCCTCCTCCACCCAGACCATCAAGACTATCAGGTCAGTATGTAGAACACTGCAGACTCGATTTCCAGTTAAAGGTAGAGTAAGCAAAACGAGTACATACATAAGCTGTGCATGAATAAAGTTATATTGTTCAGTTTTGTTGAACATGCTTTAGAGACGTGTGGAATCATTTTGAAGGATGCAGTTTGTGGTTGAGTAGAATTATATGAAGTTAAAATCGAAACTAACCTGAACATTCTAACTTCCATGAAGGTTAAATATACAGATGAGATGTTCTCAATTTTCTAGGCATATAAGTGTATCTATGGTTACTCAATGATTTGGTTAAAGTTTCATTTAATTCAATGCAATGACAATCCATCCATCCATTATCTATACACTTAATCCTCACTAGGGTCACAGGGGGCTGGAGTCTATCCCAGCTGACTCAGGGTGAAGGCAGGGGACACCCTGGACAGGTCACCAGTCTATCACAGGGCTACACTTAGAGACAGACAACTAAGCACACTCACATTCACACCTACGGACAATTTAGAATCACCAATGAACCTCAACATGTTTTTGGACTGTGTGGGAGGAAGCTGGAGAACCCGGAGAGAACCCACGCTGCACGGGGAGAACATACAAACTCCACGGAGAAAAATCCCAGGTGTCCTCACCGGGACATGAACTGGCGACCTTCTTGCTGTGAGGCAACGGTGCTAACCACCGAGCACCCTTGCAGCCCCTGCAATGAAAATAATTATCATAATTCATATAGAACTTTTATTACCAGGTGTGCAAAAAAAACCCAAAAAAAACAAAACACGTTGGGTTATTCCATCTCAAATCATCACAGGCTGTTTGCTCAACCATCTCTGATTTGCTGGAAAGTTGTTTTTTTCTTCTTTTTTTATCATAAGCTGGGGATATTTGAAATGGTATTTATGACTCTGTCAGATTGATATATAATATGCTCTGAGATACTTTTTTTTTTTTTTTTAACTGCCCCTGTCTTTTTGCACACTGAAATCTGAGGTTACATCTGAACAACAATAGCTGAGGAACTATTAAAGGTAATACATCATTTTTTAAACTCTCACCCTTGCAGGTGGAGTCGTAGTCGTATCAAGTGTCCTCATCGTGACTCGAGTCATCTTTGGTCAGTCCACTCTTTATTCAACACGATGTCTTACTGCATTGTCCTCCAGCAACTCTTTCTGAACAAGTCGTCTGTTTACAGGTGTTGTGTACTTCAAGGACTGTCCTCAGCAGCCGAACATCCCCAACTTTCTCTTAGGGTTGGCTTTGATGCCGCTGCTCATGGTTTCATTTGTGACCCTCCCCTGTGAGAGCGAAGCAGCTCAGCCACAGGAGCATCCCAGGGGTTTCAAAGCCTTTCTGATGTTTGTATTGTCCCTTTTTATCTTCATATGGATCCTGATAGGTAAGGAAGACATCAGAGAGGCCTTTTTTTCTTAAATGCCTGGATTCAGTGTAACTTCAAAATGCTGACTGTGTCTTCTCAACTAAATGTTTTTGTCCTCTTGCCTGCACTTCCAGGTGATGTGTGGGTGTTCTCAGTCTACCAGCCAAACTATGACCCCACAGCTGCTGATGGCCTCTACTGCAACAAGACCTTGTACACGTTTGCTTTCTGGAATGCTGTGTATGAGACCTTTGCGATTGGAGTCATCCTGGCCCGATTCTGTAAAGGTCTGCTGTGTTATGTGGCGTTGAGTCCTGTTCCAGCAAACACAGACTTCTACAGGCAAGTCTGAGGCCGTTTTAGGTTTCATCTTAATGATTAATATGGTTATGTGTGCGGTTACTTAATTATTTAGCTTTATCTTCTTCCGTTGTATACACATATACATGCCCTATAGTTTACAGCAAATGACATCCACACAACGGTCAATGGTGCATTGTGGGTATAGTTACATCTGCAGATTAGTGTACAAATTGTGCTCTAGACATGGTTTTGGATAACAATGAAGGTCTAGACTTTACCAAAACCTTTTTGATTTTTTAAAAAATGTTATCTTGGTATTGACTTTAGTTTTTACATCAAAAGTTTGGCTATATGTAGAATTTATTAAGAGAATATATTTGATCATTTTTCTTGTTTGTTAATAATATGTAATATTTAATTTTATATTTCCTTTGTTTAAACAATCAGCATTTAAGCTATAACAGACTGGTGATGATTTAAAGGAAAAACCCACATAAGACAATCATCACAGCGTATGATTCACATCATTTTCATATCATGTCACTTCATCACTGTTCCTAATAAAGCAGTCGTTGCAACTAAAGCTCCTGCTATCCAACGATGTCGGGTTTTTTTTTCTTGCCATCTTCACTCAGAATCAGCTAGGCCTGCTGAAAGTTTTTATTCACGATATAGCTGATGAAAAATGGTGAGTTACGATTTTACTGTTTGTAAAAGTGTTTAATTATGGAGATGGTTCAGTTGCACAGTTTCACAGCAGTGACATAATTGTGTGTATGAATGCTTTTAATAACTACACATAAAATATTACCCCTCTAATTATTATAGTCACCAACAAAAGTGGCAATGGGTAGCCGTTTTATTAAGCTGTTGTAGTTAAATGGGTTATCATTAGGCCAAACATGGACAGAATTTTCATTTTTATAATTATTATTATGATTATAGCTCCTCACCAGCACTTGCATGTTTTCTCCTGGACTTTGTAAAATGCCAAGCACCCCAATTACTATCAGAATCAGAATCAGAAAGCTTTTTATTGCCAAGTGAGCTTGCACACACAAGGAATTTGCTGTGGTGAATGAGACTGATACACAATAATAACAAGACAAGAATAGATATAGAAATCAAAAGTATAAAAGTACTACATAGATAAAAAGTACTATGAGAACAGAAATAAGCCAAGTAATAAATTAGGAAACAGTTTAAATTACAATACAGTATTGCACATGAAGTTGAAGAATTGCACATAATAGTAATGCACAGCTAGTGCAACAGGAGTCTTTGGTGATTTACTGACTGTCCATGAGGGACGTGGCCTGAGGGAAGAATCTGCTCCGGTGCCGGGATGTTCTGGTGCTTAGAGACCTGAAGCACCGTCCAGAGGGTAGCAGGTCAAAGAGGTGATGACCTGGGTGGGAGGGGTCGGTGAGGATTTGGCCACAGTGCTGTTCAGGATGGTGAGGGGGAGGGATGCAGGGGGATTCCTCCTAAAGTCCACTGTCATCTCCACTGTTTTGAGCGTGTTCAGCTCCAAGTTGCTGTGACTGCACCGTACAGCCAGCTGCTCCAATCAAATACATCAAATGAATAAAAACATGAAAACAAGTATTTTCAAGGCACTCCTTTATGGATGATCATCAGGAATAAGAATAATTCCAAAGCTTGAAGTTGAGAACCACTGGTCTAAGTTACCTGCACTCTCTGTGACATTGATATGGAACATGACTTCAACATAGAAAGAAAGTGGGATGACCTTACTTTGCTTTGCACAGTGTTTCACAATTTGTATTTGTTTTAATTAGAAACAACTTAGGGCAGTTATGAGATTGCAATGTAAACACTGTTGGGCTGGGCCAATCACCCAAAGATCCTAAGAAGGCTTCTGCACAAATTGGTGCACAAAAAATCACCAGAATGTAGGAAATTATGTGTTTTAACCTCAATGACGCCCTATTTTATTTTATTCTATTTTTAATTAAACCTACCCCCATGCCTCGAATTAAATGACAGGTTAGAGAGTTATTTTGTTTACTTTTATTTATTTTAAACTTTGGAGTAGTTCTCACTCTTTTTTCTCGCGAGAAAATGTGACAAAAGTCTGTGTCCATTTGGGCATGACGGTCCCAAACTGGTCCGTGACGCTGCGTCCTGCCGGCCAATAAGGGGAAGGTAAACAGTGGGGATGGAGCTGTCATAAGTCCAGCTCGTCTCTCTCTTGTTTGTCAGGTCAGCAAACCACACAGCTTGGATCAAAATCAGTTTGACAGACCTGTGGCTCATCTGTTAGTCACGGCTGTAAAGGGTGTCAATCCAGAAGTGTTCACCAAAAATCACCAAACTCTTCATCTGCAATGACAGGCAAGTCCACCTCTCTGTGCCACACACTACATCTAAAGGCTTTCCAAATTACGCACGTGTTTTATCACCGTTTATTAGGGGTGAGACCTTAACGCGTTAATTAATTATAATTTAAATAACGCGTTAAAATTAATAATCGCAGTTTGCATCCAGAAAACACGGAACGTTCGTCAGTGCCTGATTTCATGGTCCACCGGTCCCAGTGATGCACCAGATGCGTCAGCGCTCCGCTAACAACAACAGACATGGAGGGATCCGACAAGAGCGCATTGTTTGGACCGCTGGAGGGCAAGTTTCAGTTTAAAATACTGCCTGATGGAAGCCTTGACAAGAGCGTGGTTTTGTGCAACTTGTGCAAAAAAGAATTTGCATACCACCGAAGCACATCGAGCTTACGGTACCACCTGAATGCAAAGCACGTTGCAGTGAAAACAGAACCTGCCGGAGCCGTTAGCGCTGTTAGCAGTCCTGGTCCGAGTCCGAGCAAGCGGTGCCGGCAGCCCGTACTGGACCAGATGACTGGATTCAGAGCCAAAATTAGTAAGTCCACATCTCAAAAACTCGCTTGCAAAATAGATCCCTCTGGACCGTTAACCACTCAGATAGCGACGAATTTTTTAACTCGTTATTTTTATTGTAATTAATTAATTAATCGTAATTAACGCGTTAAAGTCCCACCCTCACAATTTATTTATGAATGGGCTCATTATGAATGCAAACTAACTGTTTTTTTAAGCAATATTTTTTCTTCTGTTATGTGCAGATAAAGTGAAGGAGCTCGTTTTAAAGTGCATGCAGGCCAGAGACATGGCTTACTGTCCATACAGCCACTTCCCCGTCGGTGCGGCCATACTGACAGCAGATGGCGCTATAATCACAGGTAACAACCAGCCATCCATTGTCTATGCACCGCTTAATCCTCACTAGGGGATGGAGTCTATCCCAGCTGACTTAGGGTTAAGGCACAGGACACCCTGGACAGGTCACCAGTCTATCACAGGGCTACACTTAGAGACAGACAACCAAGCACACTCACATTCACACCTACAGACAATTTAGAATCACCAATTAACCTCAACATGTTTTTGGACTGTGTGGGAGGAAGCCGGAGAACCTGGAGAGAACCCACGCTGCACGGGGAGAACATGCAAACTCCACGCAGAAAGATCCCGGGTGTCCTCACCGGGATGCGAACCCGCGACCTTCTTGCTGCGAGGCAACGGTGCTAACCACTGCTCCACCTTGCAGCCCTCTCTCAGAACAAACCACTTCAATACTGGGACAAAAAACTGTGGACATGCAAAGTGCATTTCTTCAGCTACTGTAGATGCAGTTTAAAGTACTTTAATTGTATGATACTTTCCTGCAGCTTTGAAATGTTGTACTTTTTTTCTTCTTATTTTCCTCCTAAACTCACTTTGCATCTAAATTTTACTTTAAAAATGCAATGCACTTCTATAGAAATAACTGCAAATGCTGCTTACACATAAACACATTAAACTCCAAGCAGTTAAGACTCTTGCCATACTTTTAATCACCGTTGGCTCATTTTTAATATAAAGTCATGCACCGATGTGGAAGCAGCACAACTATGGTGGTTACAAGTGGAGAAAAATACAAATTTTCTGGATGATGCAATAAATTAAACGTTGAAAAATCCTGGAATCAGCATATGCAACATTTTTCCCAGTGCCCACAGGTGTTACCAGTCCTGGAAAGAAAAATGTGGCTCTACATACTGTTCTTTTCATATTTACTGCACATTTTTATTTGTCTCCACATGTCTCCCATCTGCTCTGTTTAAACACAGCCTGCAGTTCAACACAGTGCAGCAGAAAAATCCTGGAGTTTTTGTCACGTGACTGTTTGTCCCAGCTGAGTCACTGACGGTTGACAGTTGGGCAAAGTAACACAGGATTTTTATTATTTTTTTACAGAATCAGTTTCGTATAAATTGTTGGCAGATTTTTAAAGTAGATGTGCACAATTAAGTGTTTTTGATGAAATATCACAATTTGAAGCACCTTCAGAAAGTTGAAATTCCAGTGATTCTTTCTGATTTTATACTTTCTGGCTCTTGACTCGATAAATGGTGTCATTTTGTCCTTGCCTTTTTTTTTTTTTTTGAATTAATTTTTTTTTAAAGCCTTTAAAAACGGCCGCTTTGTGGTTCGCAGGGTTCATGCATTGTTATTCATGATCAACAACAACAACAAAATAGGTCAATTTAAACTCACATGGTCAACTTTTCTGCAGTTCGTTTTTATGGTACCCTGTAAATTTTATCTTTTGCTTTTTATCCTTGATTTTGTAGATAACGGATGGTCGTAATGTAGATCAGCGATTGCACTGCTGCAGTGACACTTCAGTTTTGCTGATAGGATCAATAAAGCTAATCTTAGCTTATTATCTTATCGCAAGATTGAACAGGGTTGTACCATAACAAGCTAGAATGTTAAAACCACACCAGTGCATTATAATAATACCATAGTATATTGTACATGTAAATAATGACACTGGCAGGACCAATTCTGGTGCTTAATAAGTTTAGTTTTTGGATACGTCTTGCAAGCTTTAATCACTATCACTTCAAAAAGAATTATTCAGTGGCTTCACAAGATAATCAAATTTACAACTCATAAAGGAAAACATATAGTACCTAAATGTGACTCTGGAAGGATCTGACATACTTCTACTCCTGTGAAAGCGTCCACAGTCTTCAGTATTTGTGTGTTTTCAGGCTGTAACGTGGAGAACGCCTCCTATGGACTGACGGTTTGTGCCGAGCGGACAGCTATCCAGAGAGCCGTGGCAGAAGGACACAGACAGTTTTCTGCCATCGCTGTGACATGGTGAGACTACAATGACGCATTTATAGTTTCACATAGCAGCATGTTCTTTATGCGTCCATGCTCTCCTCTCGTCTGTGCAGTGATATCAAAGATCGTTTCGTTGGGCCGTGCGGAGCGTGCAGACAGGTTCTTATGGAGGTGAGAAACAGTTTTATGACCAGCAGAGATAATCTTTATCACATGATCAGCGTGTGATAGGCTGCAACCCAGCTGTCTGTGACTGAAATAAAAAACTGTTTCCTTTTAAAAAGATGTTAAAATTAAACAAGGACAAAGAAAATCAGTGTAACTGGGTTCAGTAAATCAGCTTGTTCATGGAATTTTCCTGAAGTGTCCAGCGTTTGAAATAAAAATAAATAAAACTTTTAAAACGAATTTTTGAAGTTGTTCCACAAAACAAATCTAAAACTGAAGTACAGACAAAGATAACTTCTACTTAACAGTCTATAAGGCAGGATAGTGGCATTGTCCCTCCCTAGCACATCTTATTGATATGACAGCCGGCAGTAGCTGTGTCGACAGTAGAAACCACTGTAATCTACAGGCTTGTTAAACATTAATTCTAATCACGAAGCATTATGAAGTGTCACAGCTTCCTTATAGAGAAGGGCTGCTTTGGATTAGTCAGTGAAAGCGGCATTTTGAAGCAAAAGTGAAAAGATACAATGATTTATTCGTCCTTCCTTCTGTAATAAATAAACCTTAGGTATTTTAAAAGGAGTGGAATACTTTTGTTTTCTCTGCACTATTTCATGTTGTCAAATCCTGATTCAGATCCTAAACTAACTCCTAAATCCTTGGTTTTCAAGCACGTGTAGTCCTTGTTGGAGAAAATGTAATTAAAGACATCTATGCTGTAAGGCTACCAAGTGTCAGGTCTTTTGAGACTCGCCATTTTAGTTCAAATTTGACTCCTGTTAAGTCAACAAAAGAGTATATTAAAATGTTAGTTATTGATGTGTTGCAGGGGCTTTGTGTTCCTTTTTCTATTGCAGAAGAAGACATGCAACAAAATTTGTTAATGTAACAAGAGCAACAAATCAATGTGGTCTTAAGTTGCACATTTACTACAACTACGACTACTTTCAGATCAGCCAAAGTAAACTAAACACTAGCTTGTGGAGATGTTTGGAGGGTGTTTCATTAAGACCACTAAGAAATACAATGCAGAAATTTGGAGCTGAACTCATTCATGTAAGTCTGTCACTTTCTTTTTTAGAGTTTTCAATACACCACTATGCATCTCTCTCTATCTCTCTCTGGACAGTTTGGATCAGAATGGATTGTATACTTGACCAAGCCGGATGGATCTTACAAAGAAACCAGCCTCAGTGAACTGTTGCCTTTAGCCTTTTCTCCAGCACACCTCGGGAAGAACTGATGAAGCCTCATCACTGTTTAGTTTCATTGATTTTACAGTAACAAAGCTAATAAAATAAAACAAAAAAGATTTGGGGGAGAAAAAAAATACAATTTTGTACTTTAAATGAAAATTTTATAGCAAACAACACTGTAGTCCCTTAAATGTTCTCATGAATCAACAATAAAACTTTTAAACATCTCTAATGCCTTCATTATTATTATTATTATTATTATTATTGTACAACGGGGACTTTACTGGAGAAGTCTAACAATGACGTATGAAACTGTTATGTCACGTGATAAAGTGGGCGGGTCTGAAGTCAGTTTCCGGAAACATGGAGGCTGTATTGAGTGATGTGGTGGCTCCTGAAGACCTTATAGTAAGTTTTCGCACTATTAAACCTGTTCCTTTTCATAAACCCGACATTTTAGTACATAAGCGACTCTCACAGAGGTGTTCGTGATATTAGTTCCCCGTGGAAATGCTCACAAGTCGGTGAAATACGACGTGACGACTCGTACTTTGACGCGTCACGTAGCTAGCTAATGCTAATGATCATATTTACCCTCAAGTCTGGTTACTGTGTCACCGTCATGTCCACTGGTTGGATAATGTGTAACTAATGCTAGCATCAGCGTGGGAGTGATGTATGAGCTTACTTTTTTGAACTTGCTGCCCTAACGGTTGAGTTTAACTCCAGTTATCGTTCCTGAACATAACAGACACGTTACACAATACAGCGCTACATCTGCCAAAACACACACAGGGATTGCAGTGAAATGTCAGCAAAGCGTGCAGTTTCTGTTTCACTGCTTTCCTGAACAAAACTACAATATTAATCAAATGTCACCACGTTGCTTAATTTGTTATGGCAGAAATTTGAGAAAAAGTACAACAGCGAGCTGGTGAAGGGAGCCGTCTCCAAAGAAACCAAGTTTGAATATGCCTGGTGTCTGATCAGGAGCAAATACTCAGACGATATCAAGAAGGGAATCGTGCTCTTGGAGGGTAAGTTTTTGCAAAATGCTACGATAATATCAACACAGCATGCAAATGGTCTTCCTTCTCACATGGGGAAAAGTTAAGGATCTCATTAGAAAGTAGTTAAATGTACTAATTGTGCACAAAAGCTTCCTGGGCTGTTCAACTAGTGACAACCCCTGAGTTACTCCACGCCCTTTGTGAGGTGTGACTTGAAGAGCAATGATCAGATAGTGTACACAGACACTCCTTTGACCAGTAAGTATGAAAGGCCCCCCTAAAATGCAGTTCAGCCACAGATGACAGCAGAAAGACTAGAAGGGGCTTTTGGCATCATAGATATGTATAATAAAGGCCTTTATTATTTATATCTATGGTTGGCATGGCCACACCTTTACTGACATTACTGAATGTCCACAAGTCCACCATTTGTTGTTTCAGAAAATGCTGCAAACATCTCTGGTTGAACATATATAGCAACATAATCATGTCCCCGAAAGCATCTGCTAACTTTGTAAAGCTAAATGCCAGCATCGACAGCCTCATTAACTCTAATCGATGCACTGCGTGATGCACATGGTGTTATTACTGACTTGTGGTTTCTGTTCTGTGATCTCATGCTCCGTCTGCACATGATCATTTCCAGTAAAATGCTTACTTGGTGGTTTCAGCACATCTACTTTGTTGTTAACAGTGTGTCGGAACAACCAATATGTTAGAAAGAACGGACAGAACTTGGTAAAATATCGCATGCTGTGTTGTTTTGTGTCATTGTAATAGTATGTTTGAATCAGTCTGTTAGAAAACTGAATTAGTGTTATTTAAGTAGAGCCAAAAGGATGCAGATTTATTTTATTTTTTTTACAGCTGAAAAGGAAACTTTGTCTAAATTACTTAAACTGTGATTGTGAGTTTTTGTAATTTATTTGCTAAGATGTAGAGTGACATTGTTATCATAAAGCATAATATTATACAGATATCTGTAATAAAAATAAACTGTGTGATAATATTCATTGTAAGAATGTTTCATCAGTCTTTTGTGCCAAAACTTTGTAAATACAGTCCTGAGACATAGTGATCCTGATAAAAGTAGACAGACTGTTTGTAAAGTGAGGATTACTGCAACATGCTAACTTTTTTTTTTTTTTTTTTTCAAGCTTTCATAGTTTAAATTAATGTTTTTGCTTTTTTGTCATAGAGCTTGTTCAGAAAGCATCAAAGGACGACTCCCGGGACTTTCTGTTCTACCTTGCAGTGGCCAACTACAGACTCAAAGTGAGTGACATTTTAACATTGTGACAGTTTTTGCTTTTCTTCTGCCTTTCCTAACATTTACAAAATATCTGCTTCACGGTTCATAGAAACCAAAATAAAGATACAAACTGTGTCTGTGTGTCTGTGTGTCTGTGTGTGATGTAGTTTTGTTTCATTTCTGAAGTCCTGGATTCAGAATGCTGAGCAAACGATTTCCATCCAGCCACATTCCTTTAACGCTCTTGCTTCATGCTCCTCTGAGACAGAATCATAGTTACTGATTGGTCAACATTTACACACAGGGCTGTCTGATTGGTCCAATTTAAAATTTCGCTGATGTATCGCTATAAACGTTGCTAGGAAAAGCCCTATTTATCTGAGCTGCTCATCCGTATCGGGAAGGTGCACCTGCATTCTTGTACAATAGTGTGCCTGTCTCTGCCCTTTCCCTACCTATCCTTAGACGATAACTAATCAGGCCTTTATGGTCTACAGGTCAAGATGGTCCCTTTTTCTTCTTTACCGCACAAGGGGACTACAACTCTAATTTCTGTAATTTCTCTGCAGCTAATGTGCTTTATTTAATCCATGTTAGACCCCGTATGAGTTACATTAACACACTGTTTCTTATGACTCACTCTTCAGGTTTTCTACTTGAATAAAATAAAAAAAAATCAACTGAAATCCCACAATCTCAGTTAAACCAAAAGTGTGTGAGATCATTTTCTGTTTCCTCTTGTGTATCCAGGAATATGAGAAAGCCCTGAAGTACATCCGGACTCTGCTAAAGAACGAACCAGGGAACAAGCAAGCTCTGGAGCTGGAGAAACTCATCGACAAGGCTTTGAAGAAAGGTAAGAGAGAATGACCCCCCTCACTGGATAAATGATAATATTAAACTTTATTTCTTAAGCCTCCTTAAAAACTGGTGTGTGATGTGATTTAAGTCTAAGTCTCAATCCTCACTTGTTGCTCTCTAGATGGCTTGGTTGGCATGGCGATTGTCGGAGGGATCGGCCTCGGCGTGGCCGGGTTAGCGGGCCTCATCGGCTTGGCTGTGTCAAAAGGAGCTGCCAAATCCTAATCTGGACATGAAACGGTGTGTTTTCATTTTGCTGGACTTACACACTGACCTGCATAAAGAAAAACTAAAAAAAAGCTTTGGTGGTGAAAGCTTGAAGGATGTATAATATTGGTTTGAATATGTATTGCAGCGCATTAAATGGTTTGAATATTGCCAGTGAATAACTTGTTTTCATACTTTAAAAAGATTGAAAATCATCATACAAATGACACTGCTGTTAATTCACACATTATATATAGCATGGCACCTTCTCATTACTTGTATAAACAACCTAGACTAGACATGGTGCCATTCAGTTTTGTGCAGTTTCTTAGCGTGCACCTCGGCCTACAGTTACTAAGTTGGCATTGACATTTTGTCAAATAACTTTCTAAAAATGCAGTTGTGGTTTCTTCCATTGTGCTTGAATTGTTAAAGAAAGTGTTGCTGGTTCGGTATAAAGTGTAGATTGTAAAGCAAAGGGGAACAGAGTCGTGTTTTTGCAGGTGATGTAGCAGGAACTCATCTGTACCAGACTGTAAGAAGAGCTGCTGCTGTGGAGGCAATGAGCAGATGTTTGCATTTATTTTGACTGCAGTTTTTTTTTTTTTTTAAGTTGTTCTGACTTAAAGGGACGCAATGCACATATGAGAAATTAATACATCTTCCTCATGTAAAATATGTTTCCTAACATTTACACAAACTACGTTTAATGAGTTGTGTTTCCATCTTGTTAAATAAAATGATTTTGAAATGCTAGAAGACTGGTTGTCTGTTGTTGACAGCATGCAAACATGTATTTATTGTGCACTTTCTTTCTTCTGCTGTAGAGAGAAAAATACAGCAGGAGAAAAACTGTGTTTATTTCTCTATTGCAGAAAAAAAAAGCACAGTAACTTACCAACTGTTGTACACACGTCAAGTGGTAATTATAATAAAAGACATTTCAGTAATTGAACATGCATTACATGACTAAATACAGACTAAATATTTCAGAAATATAATAATGAGCTTCATTTCACAGTTGTTACAAGTCAGTTTTATTTCATTTCAGCGGCTTTTTTGCTTATTGGTCTTGATTAACAGAGTATTTGTTTGAAAAAATAAGACAACCATGACTAAATACAAGTATTATTGGTGGAAAAGCTGCAGTAAATAATTATAGTCTGTCCTTGTAAAGAAAGAAAAGACTGGATCTTCTAACATTTTATCAAATCAAATCAAGTTTATTGTCATTTTGCTGTACATACAATAATAGTACAGGCAAGATGAAAGAGTGTTTCTTCAGAATTCAATAACTTAAAGCAATTTAAATAAACAAGTGTTTGCGTATCTGGATCAGCAGTTCAGCATTCTGACAGCTTGTGGAATGAAGCTGTTGATCAGTCTGACTATGAATATATCATTGATCAAAATGAAGCTTAGCTTTAATTTGATTTGGAATATCTTCACAAAGTTCATTTTATTTTTCTGTTTATTGATATAATAATGTTATTTGTATTTATTTGATGTTGAACAAGGGGCTCTATACTCTCATACAAGCAATTTCTCTGTTCGTTTTTCCACAAGGGCAGTCTTAGCAGATTTCTTGGTATTTATACACTTTACGAAATAAATTTGCCAAATCAAAAATATACAGGCAGCTAATTACAGATGCTTTGTCCTGTAATTATTGAGAAAAAGTTTTCTGTTGATTTATGATTCACTAAGTGTATATCCAAAACACACACTTTCTGTCAATACTTTACCTACAGCAATAAAAGTTGGACTTTTCTGTTAGTTAATTACGCACCTACAGTAATAATACATTTTGTTAAAAGACTTTCTCTGATAAAAAGAATTCTTATTAACTCGTATGTCTTTCGTATCTATAAAAACGCTGCCTACATAAGAGTTTAATCTGCATAAAAACAAATGTTTTTGACTGTTATGAAAGACCAGTAAACAGTAATTTTCCATTGATCTGAACCTGCATCTGATCCATTAATCAGTCATTTCGGACGTATCTGTTATTGATAAAGCAAAGTCCAGCATTACTGCCATTTATTGACTCCATTAAATTTTACGGAGGCGTTGTTGGACACCGTGTGAGAGTTTGCATTCTGATCAAACTGCACTAAGCACTAAGATCGAGCTGCACCCGTTGACAGAAAAAAACGTGCCTGGCCTAGTTCACTCACTGTTCATCGTTCTCATATCTTGAGCCCCACGGAGATTCAAGTCGCCGGCATCGTTTTACGACAGGAAGGCTTACAGAGGCTATCACCAGCGTGTGGTGTTATCAGCCTCGTTGGATGTTACTCATTAACCTACCTGACAGCACCGAAACTCCACAGGGACAGATCAGTGAAAACAATAATTTTCTTTGGTGTGAAAGAGGTGATCAGTTGGGCAAACAAAAAAAGATATCTGGGCGGAAACCCTAAAAAACTTAAATACCCAAACAGAGGCGCAGGGTAGGAACTTAATATCTAACCAAAGACTCTTCCTGCTCACAGTTTAAACACATTTTAACATTAATGATTCATCAAAGCAGGTGTAATTCAGATCAGCTTCAGTGAGTCTGAGTTACTAGGGCCAACGTTCATTGAGGTTTCAGAATCTTGAAGACACGGCTGAGGGATATTAATGTGTAATCACCATGAAGGAATAGAATAGGGCTGGAACATAGCGTATTGGCTGAGTTACACCCTGTGTGTATGTCAACACACAGTAATTAAAGGTTACTGTGTAATCCAAAAGAACACCAGTTTATTGTCTGTCACCTCACATCATTGCAGCCAGTGACACAGACAGGCAGTAAATTTGTGTTTTTGTCATGATTTATGAGCACTTTATGTTTTTTATTTCTCTCTGATAACTTCCGTGCATCTCCTTATTGCCATGATTCAACTTGTATACTGTAATTTTAATTCACTTTATTCGGATTCCAGATTTGATTTTTATTCATTTTTAAACCCAAATACACAAAAATGGTTTTAAAACTCGAGATCCCACATTGAAAGTGTCTGCTAACGCTGCATCGTGGAATACTACCAAACCAGAAGAGTTTATGTGAACAAAAAAATCACAGTTATGCGAGTGGCTCTGTGAGGCAGATTAAACTAATAACATCCACATGTATTAATGTGATGTTAAAATAATCTAATAGATGAGTCCCAACTGAAAAATGTATGTAAATGTACTCTGAACAGCTCTTAAAGTCAACAAAATCTTTATCCACAACTTGTCAAGTTGTTCATATGCATCATCTTCACAGAAACATGGCAAATAAAACCAAATGTTTGGTTGATGGTCACATGCTGAATATCATTGTTTTTTGTTTGCTTTTATGGCCCTTGATGAACTTGCACGTGAAGATTTAAAGTCCAACACCTGACTTGAATGAACTCGACAAATCAGTCATGGCTAAAGCAATTTAATATAGGCCAGTTCGTATCATCAGGCTAATCTAATACAGGTTCAAGTAATCAAGATAACTGTATAAGTGCACCACTCCAATGCAGCTCGAGAGGTCACACGTAGATCAAATCAATCCACTACAGCGAACAGCAGAATGTTCACTAATAAGCAGTGACAGTTATTAAAAACATCTCATTCAATTTCATTCCAATCATATTTATATCATGCCAGTTCACAACATAATCTCAAGGCACTTCCCACGATAATGTGAAGGATTCAAACATCTAATAACTACAGCTGCCAGAAAGAAAACCAGCAAGAAACTGCTGATTGAATGACCGCGCGTTGCAGAGAAGTTAAATAACACTGATGTATGATTCATGCAGGAGGTTGATTTGTCAATAATGCACATGCAGTGCAAGATAACAACATTAAGTAAACTTTTTATTGCACATGTTATGTAGTTGCACAGCAGGCAGCATCAGCTACTTTTGATCTGTTTTCTTATTCCTTCATGTCTATTAACAGGACAAATTCAAATAGTTAGTAACAGAAAACCTGTAGGTTATTAAACTGCTTTTAATTAGGGAACATTAGGGTCATTTAGACTAAGACTTATTGTGTGTAGCATAACCCATTTGACATTACTTACTATATGATTAAACATGTCTGTCGGCCTATATCTAGTCATTTATCATTCTGTAATTTATTTAAGTTATTTATTGAAGTTGATTTTCTATAAACTTACATTTTGGAACAGATACAGGATAATAAAGTCAAATGATATGGTAGCTCGCCAAAGAGTCAGTGGTAAAGTCTTGGCTTTCCTGTCGGCTCAGTCTTACGGACACTCTGGTTTAACAGCAACTCAGGCCAGTCTGACAGTTGAACCAGGTCAGTAGCTCAGCATAAGTTTCCAGACTCACTGAGCTTGTTGAATTTGCTTTATGTGCCGAAAAACCTGAGAGTAAGTCAGACTAACAGAAATAAGCCTGGTTTATTTGGTAAACTTGCTTCATGGAACAAGACCTAGTTGTTGTTGGTCCCTGTGCGTGTTTCATGTTCTTCTTGTTGTTCTGACTGATTGGCCTGAAGCTCCAGACCTTATTCGTCTTGCCCCCAACCCTTGTGACTGATTGGCCCAGTCCCATGCTCCAATCAGGATGCAGCAATCACAACACCTGGTTTCTTGTTGTCCTTGTGTTCGTAGCTCACAGCTTGTTTGACCGTCGAGAGACTAGACCAGGCTTACTGTAGCTTTTCTAGAGACGAATGGGTGCCTTTGTCTTTTTTTAGTTTATTCAGCAGGTTGGACCACTGTTAGCCCTCTTTTGATTTAATTTATTTCACTGATTTAGCAACATCCACAGGCCCTGGTTTTCTTTTGCAGTTTTGCGACCTCTGTTTGTTAATTGCTAAGCATTAAATAACTCCCACTACCTACTGATTTTATGTTGCTTCCTTTTACACAAGCAGAACTGGGGACGTAACACTGAAATTATTTTGTAATGGTATTAGTATGTAATCGTTGCTGTCCCCTCAGAGTGATTCAGATGACTCAGCGCAGTCATTTATTAGCAGTAATGCTGATAACATGTCAGGTAAAGCAACTATTAGCTATCAGCACCTTCTTTAAGTTCTCTGAGTAATAAACACATTTTTTCTTTGTTTCATTCATGAAAAAGACACAAACACACCGAAGTCTAAAGAACAACTTCCCAACTCAGGAAATGGGATCATCTGAGGAGCATGTGAACGCACAAATACCTACAATGCTAATCTTGATGTTTACATAAGCATAATAAATAGGCATTGGACCTTGATCATAAACCGAGTTATCGGAACATTACCAGTGCATGGTAAACCATCCAATAGCTGTCAAGATGTTTCGCCCAGAAACCCTAACATCAACCTCATGGTGGCAGCAGAGAAAAAAATAAGATGTCAGTGGGGTTCATCCTCTGGGGACCATGAATGTCTTTGTAGCAACAAAGGTTCGTTTTGTGTTAATTTTGTGTCAATAGTAGGTGAGTATTATCTTAGTTTATTATTCCTATTGCTGTGATTTTGTTTTTATTAGAATCCTGCTCTGAAAAATTCAAACACTGAAATTTATCATCGAAAACAATGTGTAAGATCTATGTAGGATGTCAGTGCTTATTATTAAAACTTTATTAATAAATATGTTTTTAGGACCTTTAAATATTTTTACACTTTTGTTAATACTTGTGATACTTTCAGTGTGGAAAACCTCTATGTGAATATTGAGTATTCAGAAATACTCAATAATTTACCTGCATATAAATCTTGTATCAGTTAAAGTGTCAGTGTATATTTAAAAAAAAATGCTTTTAATATAGTTCGAGTCAGCTTCATGAGGGTGCTATTGTTATTCTGGACTACTTCTGAAAATGTTTTCCTCTGACAAACTCCTAAACACACAGTTTCCTTACATTTTGTAAGTAAAATCAAACTTTATTAAAATATTTTGAATATAGACGTGGCCTGTAAGATGCTTTTAAATTAAGTAAGAGTTGTTCCTTATCTTTGTCTTAACCAGTGGCTACAAACATCCTTGTAGACATTTATCTCCTCTCTGCTGTCTTCCGTGTTGTGTATAATCATTATACTCACCCTGCCCCTTTTTTATGACTTACTGCTGGAAACGCACAAAAAAAATTATCGGCCTTCTTCCACGAATCACATAAAGTTTTGTTCTCACACAAAGCAACTTTGATAATTGCGTAAATGGGACAAATCCATCAGCAAGCTGATGCCGCAGCCAAGTGAGCCGTAAACATGAGCTTTGCAAACAGATCGGTCATAAAAGGAGATATTTAGAGTCGGGAACAATCTGTTTTTCAGAACACCTTAAGTTCAGGTGAAGTACAGGAGGCCAGCTGCTGAGACTTGAATTTCTGTCTTTGTGTAACAGATGGTAAAAGGAAAGGAGTTTCTTTTTACTGTGGACATCATGCTTTTGGCTTGTCTGTCCCATTCTGATCAATGTAATAGCACGATTCCACAGGGGTACAAATGCATACATTATCACTCCAGGTGAATATTTTGCACCCTCAGCTGCCTCAACTTGTCTGTAAAGTCGGGTAAAGTGTTAAATGTGTAGGTAATTGTTTTAAAAATAGAGAATGACTAAAATATTCCTGCAAAATAATGCTACATTTTCGTAGACTTGTAGAAACGCTGGGTTAAATGGCAGTGTGGATGTTAGGTATAAGTTTCACCTTTGTTGTTACCAGAAACTGACTGAATAAAGTTGTGTGTATTTGCATGTCATTACCGTTTGATCCTGATTAAAGCAGATGTACAAAAACTGAGCAATATTTTAGTTTTAGATGTACAAGTGATCACTCAGCAGGTTCTTTTGTTGTGGAACTTTGCCTGCTGGGACTTCACAGACCGTAACGTCCGTAACTGAAGAATTTATAAGCTACTTATGACGACATTTCATACGAATGTCTACTAAAATAAAATGAGGAAGTGAGCGAACATTCAAAAGGTCAACTTGACTGCGACGTTACAATGTTCTGCAAGAGCACTTTTCTGGAACAGAGGTGGAAGTTTTGAGCATTTTTCACATTTGGTTAGATTCTAAATTGGTGACATTATCTCACGTTGAATCTGTGGCGATTGTGTGGAGCTTCTGTGCTGCGTGTGAAACATTTTAGATTTTGTTGCTTCTTTGCAGCAACATCCATAATCAAAGCATTGTGCACTGTTGTGGCTGCAGCTTTGTGTTCAGTCAGAATCAGGTTTATTGGCCAAGCATGTGAACACACACAAGGAATTTGACTTTTTTTGTTGTTTCTTTAAATGAATTACACTCTGCAAAGTCTTCATGACTTAGATTATGAGTCTTGACAGACGTGGATGTAAACTGCAATTTGATTGAATGTTACAGGCATGTAGCGACGAGGTAATAATTCTAGTTTATCATCCATCCATTATCTATACACCACTTAATCCTCACTGGGGTCATGGGGGGCTGGAGTCTATCTCAGCTAACTCAGAGTGAAGGCAAGAGACACCCTGGACAGATAACCAGTCTATCACAGGGCTACACTTAGAGACAGACAACCAAGCACACTCACATTCACACCTACGGACAATTTAGAATCACCAATTAACCTCAACATGTTTTTGGACTGTGTGGGAGGAAGCCGGAGAACCCGGAGAGAACCCACGCTGCACGGGGAGAACATGCAAACTCCATTTAACAACCAGCAAAACAACAACAACTGTTACAAAAATTAATTTCTTAGTTTGCAAAAGAAAACAGCATTTCAAGACTGAAGCCTGTTTCTAAAACCTAAATTCCAAAAATCAGATGCTCATGTGTTACCTTCTAGTCTGTAGAACACAACACTGCTGCACTGTGTCACCTCTCAACGTGCTAAATATAGATTTTCATTACATTTTACAATCTCTGTGCCGTGTTGATTTCTAGAAAACTACTTTGCTGAGAAAACAGCTCAACTCGGGCTTATTGTGGAGCTGAGGCTATTTTTGGAACCCCGCTCTTGACCTTTAAACAAATGAGTTTGCTGGTTTATAAATCTCCTCACTTCTACACCCTAGACAACCATGTCTGAAATGCAGAGTAGGATTTATCTGAATATTATCAGTGAGGTGAACTCGCTGTGCCCTGGATTTGGCAGCGCTGACCCAACAGCTATCAGGAGGGTAATTAATGAGGACAGACAAACACAGAAACGACGAGAAGAAACAGGTAACGTTAGACCTTTGTCTCCGGCTGGTTACTCGGATTTCAAATTAAACCTGTTCGGTGTTTGTATCTTTTTAAAACGCAGGGCGTGACGCTTAGTGATCGTGTCCTTGAGTCTATGGCCTTGAGATATTCCAGCCAAAACAATAAAACTAACAAGGTGCAGGTTGGCGTATAGTTTTAAAGAAAACTGCATAAAAATGCACTTTACGGTGAAACATGTGATATATACATACAACAATCTGCATTCATGAGAAAGATCTATCATGAAAAAATATGAAGAAGTTTTCATAGAAAGCTGGTTTATCTTTGATTGTTCATCCAATTGGCAAAAGTTGCTCTTACTTCTGATCACACATTTGTGATTAAATGTAATTTTAAAGTACATAATAGTGTGAATATGTCTAATAATCATAACCAAAAACACGCTCAGTGCCACTGAGAGCAGCCGGTGACCATTGGACCGAGAGTGGGCCGATAAACACCTGTTCAGTTTCAGGGGTGTAAAATGCAAAAAAAAAAAAAAA